GGCCGAGCCAATCTCCTGACGTGAACCCCATCGAAACCTCTGGGCCATACTCGACCAGCAAGTCAAGAAACAACCAAAAAACCAACTTCGAAGAGCGACCTACTCCAAGTTTTGAAGCAAGAGTGGGCGAAAATCCCACAATCTAAAATTGACGAGATGATTCTCACGATGCCCCAAAGGATCAATGAACTCCACGAAGCGAAAGGAAGATCTACTAGATATTAATTAAATTATAAATTATAAATTATAAATTTTCATTTTTTCTGAAAAGGTGGTGTCTATTTACTTGTGCCCATGCTGTGTATTATGTGTAATAATTGAAATGTGACTATATTTTACAAAATACTAGTTCACTAAAACACAGCCAAGACAGGTCACTTTATAAAGACCAAAGGTCAGTTTATATTATTGGATATGGTAACATGTGTGCCACTTCACTGTAACTTCTGTATTGTTAGCCAGGTATGGCTGAAAGGTCAATATAATGAAATATATATGAATATATAATGTTATGAGATTTAAGCTATTTAGTCTGAACATTTATGTTTTTGTGTTATAATTTGTGTTAATTCTAGAACGAAAAAGGCATAATTTATATTTATTTCCTAATTTTTTGTGGTGGGTACGAAACTGGTCAAATTGACTGAACCCATACAGAGATTTGTCAGTGAAGATAAAATATATAGTTTTTTCTTAAGAAATGTTTGATAACTGTTTGTATGTTATAAAGATTTTGCATGTGAAATTTGAAATTTTGCATGTTGGATAGGCATGTTGGATGTTGAGTTTATTGCAGTGTTTAGTTACCAACTGAAAGTTTTCTACATTTTTATGCATGTACACACATCAAAAAATATTGCTTTGATAAATATTTAACAGATAAAAATATATTTGTTAAAGAATATTTTATTTTTTAACAGTAAAAATGTTCCTTCTGTGCATTACAAATCAAAGTGAAATAACCATAAATGTTAAAATCTTTAGTGTTTTTATGTTATAATAATGTTTTTATGACTTAAAATTGAGAAGCATGATCAGTATGCACAGTTATAAACAAATGGATAAACTGCCTTATTGTGAATGTTCTAATATAATTTGAATAATTTGAGAATGGTGTGACTTATCCTATTGAAATTAAACAAACTAACTCTGTTTTGCCTTTATTAAACAATACGTGAATAATGTTTTGCAATTTCACATGTTATTGAAGGAAATATTTTAATATATCACAAGCATGGATCAGATGGTCAGGGAATAGAATATTCTGGTCAGGAAAAGGACAGGGATTTCAGTGTGGAGTCATGTTTATCATAAATGGCATCTTAATGGTGCAAATAAACCATTGAAAGTAGTTTGTCTTTTATTCTTTTACATTTGATACTGAAGGGTTGAAAATGGGTGATGATTATATATATATGTCTGTACTTGTTTAAATAATGTATATTTTTCTTATTTATGGTCACTTAAAAAATATGAGAAATTCATGTAAGTAATTTGTGTAAGGTGTAATATCCCTGTAACATTACAGTAAGATAACTGTAATATTGTGTATAGCATCTGTATTGGTTTGTTACTTCAGAAGTTTTTCTTTTTTGTCTAGCTGAGAGAATTTGACAAAGAGATGGAAGCATTTCAAGATAGACTGTTTGAGTTTGATATTAATTTTCCACCAAGGTTTGTGTTGTGATCTTTTTATTGTATATTTATACAAAATGTAATGTTGCAAATTAAAATCGTTTACTAGTATTAAACAAAGAATAAAAATACATATAAGAAGTATGGTACTTATCACAAGAAAGTAATTAGCAATCTAAACACAGTTATAGAAATGTTTAGTTGAAAATTCAGTTTTTGTTTTTGAATTTCAAAATTGATTCAGACATGTATTCTGTTTTATTTTATCATCTGATGTAAAACTTGTACCATCACTAAACGGAACAGAGGAGAAGCATAGCATTTTTGATAGTTCTCATATTACAATAAAGTTAAAATCTAGTTGGATTAATATATTTTTAATATTAGCGTAAAGATGTATGTATGTATATCTACTATCAGATTGGTCTTGTAAATAGTAAGATTGTTTTAGCAATTGAACAGATTTTAAGAATTTATTATGAAAATTAGTTATTCATTTACAAGATTTTTTGTTTAGCATATATTCTATTCAGAGGTTGTTTTAAAAATATTGGTTAAGGTTGCTGTTTTAATAACTTTAGTTTTATAAATTAAAAAGAATCTCATTACACAGGCTTAGAAGAAGAGAAACTACACTACTTAGTAAAAAAGTGCAATTTGAAACCTCAAAACTGTGTCATCAGTTATGACTTGTAACAAAAGTGTATAGAAATATGAAAAAAATAGAAAATATGTAGAAAATTAGAAAAGGATAATATCACTTGAAAATAATAATAAGAAATAAACATGCATTAAACTAATCAAAACAAATGGAAAAAAAGAAGTAAAAAAAAGTGCAGGGACCTTTCTGAAAGGAAAGAAGATAAAACAAAATGTGTTCTATTTAGATATCAATTAAAGCAGAGTGTTCACTATGTGAATGTAAACTCACCATGCAGACATTAGTTGCTGGGAGTCCAGACATATAAAAGCTGACAAACAAATTAGCCTTGGATGTTTAAGTCTACTTGCTGGTAAAAGACAATAAAAACCTATTTTTGGTGATCTTCTGTGCAACAGTTTATTACAGCCAGATTGCAAGGAAACCACAGAAAAATATTTCAAACATTGTTTCCCACAACATTTAAAATGCATACTGACAGGTTTGTCAATTTGATTTTAAAGTAAGCTAAATGTTCCATAGTACACAAAAATGAGTTTCATACATTAGGACTGTATGTGTTATAAGAATGACTGTCAAATCTCAATATTTGATTAAAGTAGCTCAAGAATTGGTAGTGGGTGTTGTTGACTAGCTACTAGCTAGTCAACCAGTTCAAAATTAGGAATAGCTAGCACATGACACTTTGTAGCTTTGCTCAAATTTCCAGAGCAAGCTAATTTCTAGGCAAAACATGTTTCATGTATGTAGAAAATGTGCCAAATATGGAAAAGTATTAAAAGTCAATTTAAACCTTGATGAGTACAGAGTATTTAATTTGTTTTAGGGTTAAAAATAGGTGTAATAGGATGTGTGTGTATCTACAAATATGACACTGGTGAAAACTAGAAGGGTGTTTATTTCTCTCTTGGATAACCTCGGTGGAAAACATAGAAAAACCGCTTTATCACTCCAACTTACAGAATGAAAAGTCTGCTCATCAAATATTTCAATTAAAGAAGGATTTGAAGTTATTAGGTCATCATGGAAATTAATCTTGCATTTTGGAACACTTTCATTAACCACTCCTTAAAAAATGGACATTATGTATAATAATTAAACGAACCGCCTAAATGTCATGTTAGTGTAGCCTATGTAATGT